CACATATCTCCTCCTGTCTATATATCGCACATGGTTGCGTCTAATCAGGTTATCTGCATCGGCACTGGTTGATGAAGTTATCAGGAGGAAGAGGAAGGAGACGAGCGGTTATAAATATCGAGGTGGATCTGTGTGAATTGCTCCAACGCCAAATAATCATTAGAAAAGGAAAAATAAAACGCATACGGAGCAGGGTCGGAGGTCTTCAGTCCACTCGTAGGTTTATTGCGCAGAGCAGCCAACAAACTGCGCTAGCTAGCCTCGAGCAGAACTGAAGTTGTTTTTTTTATAGCAAGCATCAAGTTAAATAAGATTCTTCTCCCTCCTCAGAGTTCGATCATCACCTGATTGTTGCTGCTGTCGTGAGCTGCGTCGCCTCGGTGTGACCTCTGTGACCTTAATGCAGAACGCTTCCTCACACAACAAAGCTTCTGGAGCCAAACGTGGTCATTTTCTCGTGTGCACGTATCGTCGGTGCAGTTTGTTCGTACGGCTTCGCTCTCCTGTGGATATGTTTTAACTTCTATAATTGTATATTCCAGCAGATCAATTAAATACACGTAAGAACAGAATGAAAACGAGCTGCTTGGACGTAAACTGGATCATAATGTTTGGCTTAAACTTGTCAGGCAGGCGTCATTTTTCATACGTGGTGCGTGTACACAATTACCGTCAGTTTTCTTGAAACGACGTGATGATGTGCGGCGGCGGAAGCAACGACTCGAACGCTACGCGATGGCAAACTGGAGCGTTCACACGTGTTCCACCGGGAAACTGAAGAAGAATAACGGTACGGGAAGTCTCGCCGTGCAAGCAGGCAGCTCGGACGTCGGAATCAGTGGTTTGGGGAATTTTCAAGGTTATAAAAATGAAAAATAAATTCTCAGCCATGGTGTTGACGGCTTGTGTTTCTTCTTGCATATGTATATATTAAAAAAACAACAATATGGACACGATTACAAGGTACAAAAAACTACTTGATTTTAACCAGAGTGGGTCTTTAAAACCCGTAACGTGAGCGGATAGAAATGACTGCATCCCAGCGTCTCTTCACGGTTCGATTCGGGTCATTCTGGTAAATAAAAAAGCATTTAGAGTGAAAACCACAGCCAGCAAAGTGGATGTATTACCCGGAGTAGCATCAGGAAAAACGAGTCGACTGCACTGATCTTGGGAAGCGTTACGGGCGTTTCTCCGAGAAGTTTCCTTGAGTCGTGTCAGTTAAACAAGCATTTGTTTCTTTAAAGCAAATTCATTTCACAGGAGGGACGACTGTTCAAAGCAGAGAATCAAACACTAATCTGTCCGCCCGGCTGCAGGTGTCTCAGGAGATAAGAGAGACTGTAAGTGTAATTTCAAGGCCTTTAAGTGCCTTGCTCATGGGCATTGAGGAAAGTGCGCCTGCTCAGTGGCCAGATCACGAAACTGAAGCTCTTCCGGCGTTCATACACGAGATCTGATTCGAGGAAGAACCGTATTCCCCCTCCGAGCTCAACTGATACCTCAGCCTCCTCCTTCCCACCTTTTCCTCGAATCCTTTCCCTAAATAACCTTCACTAACCTGCCCTCCTCCCTCCTCCCTCCTCCCTCCTCCCTTTTTTTTTTCATGCTGAGGAGAATTTCAGACCCGGCTTCCCACTGAGAAGCATGATTTGTAAAAACACAATAAAAATGGAAAGACGGGTGAGACTTGGGTGGCGGCGAAGGAGGGGTTGGAAGGACGGCAAAGCGAGCTCCCCCGTTGTGACGGCCTGTGGTGGGGCATTAACAGGATGTCCAGGCGGGGTAAATCTTCCACCAGCCGCCTCGGAGCTCATACCCTCAGAGAACTTCAGAGGCGGAGGGGAAAAGCCACCTCGCTCTGCTGTGAGAAGGTTTTGTTTGCATGCACTTGGAACAAAAAAAGAAACTCATCCGTGCATCATTTGCGTGGAGAAGGACCAAACCGGGGTGATCTCTGACCCGTGGGTAAAAAAAAACTGTGAACATGAAGGTTTTCAGCCTCAACGATTTGATAGCAGCCCCTCATTCAGAAACATGACATGGAAGGGACGCAGTAATGTGCTGTTGGGTTTAAAGGGAGAACCTGAGACCAGTCAGCATCTGGGAATGTCCTCTAATTGCCAATTTGTTGTTTTTTCATCTGCCACAAACGAGACAGTAATAGAAAGGTATGGCCTTGTGGAGCTGATTTGGAGTCTGCTAGAAACCACTTAGATAGACTCGCTCTCTCCCCTGTTGTCACCCCCTCACCCGCCCCCCTCCACGCACACAAAAGGAAGGGGATGTATATCTGTTCCCAGGCAGCAGGAGAGTCTCCAATTATGGCAGGATGCAGCATCAATTTAAGGGCTAATTATGTGCGTAATGAGCTCACCGTCATGCGTCCGCGCCCCCGACACCGAGCAGCGCCGCTCCAACACGCCACCCCCTCCATCCACCCCCTCCTCCATCTGAGCGCCCGGTAACTAATTAAAAAACTACATGCGCCGCGGCGCTTTCATCTGATTCACACCATGGAAATTAATCCTCAGATAAACGTGTTTGACGGACACCGAAAACCGACGCATGAGCTGCGGACGCTCCCTCAGCCCGGTCCAAACTGTTTTTACATTTGTCTTTTTTTTCCACCCTTACTTTTAAAATAACTCCAGACAAAACGGGTTAACACGACGAGGAGGGTAAATAAGAAAATATTATTTGGATCACTGGGTTCTATGTAAAAAAAAAAAAGAAAGAAAAAAAAATCATGCAAATTCAACCTCAAGATTTCAATGTCAGATTTAAAGAACAGGAATAAATCCAGAGGCTGCATTTAGGGCCACGAGGACCTGAAGCAGCGAGCAGCGAGAAAAACCACTAAATGCAGAGGAAAATGTTGAACCAAGAAGGTTCTGAGTCCAGAGGGAGACAATCCACCACAGAACAAGTGAATAATTCAGTGTGACCACTAAAGCAGGAGAGCTGCTCCATGTGCTGGTCCAGCCTGTGTGCTGGAGGATCATTAGGATGCTAACATGGTGACACTAAGAATTTAAGGAACAAGACTGGAGCATCAACTGGTTCTCCAAACACTGCCCACCTCCTTTAGTTGTATTTTGGGTTGTATTTTCCTCATCATCACAAACAACCATCCCACACTGCACCTCTGAGGGACTATTTTTGACCACTGATTTAAAATAAATACTCCTGAAATCCTACATGTACTGAATATATTAGCACTCAGTGAAGCAACATTCTGATTAATCCACATTTTCCTTCAAGCTCAGAGCAGAAAATCCGGATTTTTCTTGACATTAAATGTGAAGAAACGGATCCAGAGTGTGTCATGTTCCTGCTGGAAGGCTGATTTTTGTTTGTTTGCTGTCTTTTTTTGTTTGTTTCTTTTTCTCACCGTAATAATCACCACGTGGAGGTCTTTAACGCTTTTATTCAGCCTCTCACCTGCCGAGCGTTTTCCTCCCGCCGCGCGATTTTATGCGGATTTATTTATTTATTTGCCGCCTGATCCGTGATCTCCACGCTAATGACAAAAACACAACAAGATCACTCACTTCGGGCACGGCCAAGTGCCGCGCATACCTCACCGTGCACCAAAAAAACAAAAAAAAAACTGACGCCCACGGTCCGCGTCCAATCGCGTAACGACTTCGGGCGCCTCCATCCAATCGGAGCGCGTCAAAAGGCGCACGGTGGGCGGGTCCTCGGGCAGCTCCGGAGAGGGACATTGAGATAGTTGAGGAGAGGAGGTTTTGTCGGGCACAAATGCCACTCGTTGCGCGTCCTTATAATTTGGAGAGGTGTATGCAGCGCACGGCCCGATCGCCTTTCCAGGTGGAAAATCCAGGAGGAGCTGAGACCAATTTTAACTGGGACGACTGGTCAAACCCGGTTCAGGACAGGTGAAATTCCCAGCAGGCTGCATTTAAGGGCCACAGGATCGATTCAGATGTAGGGAAATACGGCAGCTCGGGTAGGAATAAATCCGTCTGATCCAATCTGTCAGCTGGTGGTGGACGGTCATATATTTTTTATTATTAATATTAATATTTGCTTAAAACACGTGAAAAAAAAATCGACCAGTGAGGTGAGATTGTGTTTTTTTGTTTTGTTTTTTTCTCCAAACGCTGTTACGCACGTTGGAGGGATTGTGTTTGGGTCAAATGTCAAACTGCTGCTGCACTGATCAGCAACACGGTGACTCCTGAAATAACAGGAAATGCAGAATTATTTCATATCACTGGTAGATTTTTTTATTTTATTTTATTGGACTTGTTTGGGGATAAATTGTGCGTAAAATGGCTCCAAATGTCGGCGGTGCGTCCTTCACCATGTGCTGCACCGCGAGCTGGTTTTATATTAGAAAATCCACCGCAAAAGCATTTTAGCTACTGTTGGAACAGATATGCATGCAGGGGAGATGTTTAAATACATGCTTTTTATATATATTTTTAAATTAAAAGCACACTGATCCCTGCTGTCGTTGCTTCGTAGCTTCTGTTGCTGCTGCTTTGAATCCACTCAACAGTTTGTATTTATGCACAGTCAGAGCTGCAGGTTTTATTTGTGCTGCTGCTTTTACATCCTGGTTCCCAAATACATTAGATAATTTTTTTAAAATGTATTTGGGTGCATTAATTCATGTGCAGCTGCTCGTGGCACCAGACAGGCCTGCAGCACACACACAGGGCTCAGGCAGGATGCAGCCAGCTTTTATCTTTGCACAACAACAACAACAAAATGATGCTTTTCCTCATGGATACCACAAATAATGTTTGTTTTTTTGTTCCTCCAATTTGCAGGTCATGGATGAAGGCCAGCAGCAGCAGCACCGAGGAGCTTTAACTGCAACCAGTTGAACTGACCCGAACCCGAGCAGGACCTCCAGGGATACTCACACCTTGGTTTTCTTTTTGGATCCAAGCTAACAAAACTCCAGCATTTTTTTTAAGCTGATTTTTTTTTTTTAAACAAACAAACCAAAAAACCTACAATGAAATCGAGGCAGAGCAGAGAGGAGTCGCTGCTTTGAATGACCACAGAGCTTGTAGTGAGGATACAGAGAAAAAGGCGCCGACATGAAGGAGAAATCCAAAACGGCCGCAAGGACTAGACGGGAAAAGGAGAACAGCGAATTTTACGAGCTGGCCAAAATGCTGCCTTTACCGTCGGCCATCACCTCCCAGCTCGACAAGGCGTCCATAATCAGACTGACGACCAGTTACCTGAAGATGAGGATCGTTTTCCCTCAGGGTGAGCGAGCAGAGCGCGCACAGGCTGCTGCTGCTGCTGCTGCTGCGTTTGGCTCATTCTCTGCAATTCTAATTTGTTGTTGTCTGATTTTTTTTTCTCCCCTGCAAAACCTGGACCTCAACATTAATTTTAAATATATATATAATAATTATGACCTCATTAAAATAGATGTTTTTAAAATATATTTTCTTACATTTATATGTTTGATCATCAAAACTCAATGTTGTCACCAAAAAAATAAAATAAATTCTAGTACATGCTGATTAATAACAGTGCTACATAATGCTGTAGTGATGCCATGAGGGATAAAATAGAATATTTATTTCTATCACAGGCTCCCTTTAAGCCCTGCACTAACTTTCTGATCTACAGGTTTTTTATTGTTTTTTTATTTTTTTCCCTCCAGATGGATTATGGTCGTTTTTAATTCAGTGTGTCCAAATGAGGAAAAAAAAAAAAGATCTGCCTCCATCTTTTATACCGGTCTCTGCAGGTTCCTTTTGCCTGCGTGACTGAGAACAAGACTCACCAATTAGACAAAAAAAGGCCCTGCAAGGCTTCTAATCACCTAAATGTAAGCAGGAGGCACATACAGTCCCACACAGCCGCGCTTATACAAGAGAAACGCTCCAAATGATCTCCCATGAAATCACACCGTAAGCTCGCGGGTTTGCTTTTTATTCAAAGCTGCTCTGCTCCTATTTTCTAGTTTTATTATAAGAGAAAGAGAGAAAGAGAAAGAGAGGGGGGTAAAAAGGCACATGCTCTATCTGGGGTGCTCGTTTTAAATATTTTGCATCCTCCGTTTGGAAATCAGAGGAACGTTTTTGTTGGTGCAGGTTCGACTTTTTAACGCGCCTCCTCATCCGCGTGGCCCACCGACAGCTGATACCTATTTTCATTTGCAGCAGGGGAGACGGACACCTCATTTACTGATGATACCTGAGCTCCACGAGCCTTCTGATGAAACTGAGTGAATTTTAATGAGCGGCGCAGGTTCCTCGCTTTGTTCGGCGCTGGGATTTATTGGACACGGATCTAAAGATGGACACTGGTTTTTTTTTTTTTTTGTGGTTAAATTTCAGGAAGAATTTTTTTATTTTTATTAGAATGATAAAAATAAAATAATAATAAAAGACTAGAGTGGAGTCGTTTGAAAGAAGCACATTTGTGGTTCATGGCTCCACTGAGCGCGCAGACAGGTGAAGGGAAGGAATGGATTCAGGATGAAGGGAGAGAAGAAGAAATGCGTTCGAAAAAAAAAGAGAGGCCCTTTAAAAACAGTAGCTTCTGGCTTCTGGATTAAGTGTTGAGTGTGTGTGTGTGTGTGTGTGTGTGTGTGTGTGTGTGTGTGTGTGTGTGTGTGTGGAGGGGAGGTATGATGCTGTCAGACATTTTTGATAAGAGGCGAATACAGCGCTGCCCGTTTATTATCACATCCTCGGTCCAGGATGGAATTATGACTTTCTGGGATGTTCCAATAAGCAACAAACCCCGAGATGAAACCGAAACTCAGGTGTTAATGTCTCCTGAAGGATATCAGTATGTGGAACTAGTCAGTCAGACCTGATGAAGCCTCTTGGATGAGAGGTGGAACGTCTTCAAGGAATTCAAATTGCTACGATTAAACTACCAGAATAACCGAGACCTGGATGAATCTTCAGACATCTTCCAATAAGCGGGTTTCAAGATGTTGGCGAGTTCGGGTGTGAAGACCAGCCTACGTACTGGACCAGCACCATCTACACGGCCTCTATCGGACCTTGTGTGAATAACTCAGTGAAGCAGGTGAGCAGGTAATTGACAAACAAACGATCGGCTGACGATAACGAATCAATGTCGGGGAATTTCGTAATGACAAAAACCAGGATTATGACGTTCCTCTGCAACCATAAACGGGCTGTTCTACCAGAGGTTAGACAGGAAATGATTCTGGACTTGGATATTTGATGATTATAAACAGGATAGTCTATAAAGTGGGAAGATTGTCTTTGATTAGTAAGAACTGCAGAAGTGAATTACTACAAATTCTAATGCACAGTTCCTGAGCACATGGTCTGAACAACAACCTCATGAATATCTGTTTACGGTCATGTTAGTCACTCCTACCGNTGTGTGTGTGTGTGTGTGTGTGTGTGTGTGTGTGTGTGTGTGTGTCCTGCATTTTTAAAAATAATAATAAAGCAAATAATAATTATTATATGTGTGTTTACCTGTGTAACCAATAGGAAAATCTAGCATTTTAAAAATTATTTATACACAATTTTTTTTTTTTTTTATATTTTTGTGCTTCATTCTGAAGTGACGCAGCAGCCAAACAGCCTTTTGTCCCTCTGCGCAGGTCTGGGTGAAGCCTGGGGTCATGCAAGTCGAACAAGATCTCTGGACAATATTGGTCGAGAGCTTGGATCTCATTTACTACAGGTTGATTATTATTATTATTATTATTAATATTATTATTATTATCGACGCTGTCCTGCAAAATAAGATCTAACGGTGCTCTGGTTTATTTGCAGACTTTGGACGGATTCATCTTCGTCGTGGCCCCAGATGGGAAGATCATGTACATTTCAGAGACGGCGTCGGTGCATCTCGGACTGTCTCAGGTGCGTTTTGCTTTTTTATTTATTATTATTATTTTTCCTTTTACCAGATATTTTTCTGCGTTTTGCGCCTTGGTGCAAATAAAACCCGCCACCCGCCACCAGGCAGTCATTACCCCTTAATTACCTGAGTTATTCTCAACAGGTAGAGTTGACCGGGAACAGTATTTATGAATACGTTCATCCCGCCGACCACGACGAGATGACGGCTGTCCTCACGCCACACCAGCCCTACCACTCGCATTTCGTACAAGGTACAGCAGCGTTCTCACTCCGCAGCTCCTCACGCATCATGTGCGTCGAGCTGTTTGCAATTTAATTACGATGCAGTGCGTCTGGAAGCAGCGTATGTCAGAATAAACGCAGCGGATGAGTGTCAACATTACGCAGATGGAATATTTAGCCATGGCCTGCGCGCATGTGCCGCTCTTACGCAATATTTTATCCCTGAAGGACGCAATTTCAAAATCACTTGATATTTTTTCCACGTGTATATTTTCATATGCAACACAAATATTACATTTAATTTGTACATTAATGCACAGTCGAAATAAAATAATTAATATTTGAAAAAAGCCGGTGCGTAATTGCGCGCTGTGGCACAATGTCATTTAAATGTAAAACCATCGTCTGCTCCATTTTTTCCCCCTCTTATAAGAATTGCTTATTGGACTCTATCGAAAATTTAAAAATCTGTATTTGTCCTCTTTCAGAATATGAAATGGAGCGCTCCTTCTTCTTGCGGATGAAATGTGTGCTGGCAAAAAGAAACGCGGGACTCACCAGTGGTGGCTACAAGGTAACGCGATCGGGTTTTTTGTCGGTGGCAAACTAACATTTAATTATGACGTTTTTAATTAATTAACAAAATAATGAATTGCAGTAAATTCTAGCATTTTATAATTTAATGAGTAATGAAGGTTCACTCCTATAAAACAGCTTCTCATGAACTGAATGCTGTATTTCTGTTTTGGAAAAAAAAAATATTGCACATTTTTTAATCTGCTTTGTATTTTCATAATATAGTGTTTTAACAATAATTCTACATTTGGATGTTTAGCATTTGAATTTTGCAGAATGCTTCTCATGTGTAAATCACACTGTATGTCTCACACCTGCTAATGAAATTAGAAATTAAAACTAGAATTTTCTTTTTTTCCCCAAATGTAATTTCTGTCTCATTTATCTGCTTCACAACAGGTGATTCACTGCAGTGGCTACCTGAAGATCCGTCAGTACAGTCTGGACATGTCCCCCTTCGAGGGCTGCTACCAGAACGTGGGCCTGGTGGCTGTGGGTCACTCTCTACCGCCCAGCGCCGTGACCGAGATCAAACTGCACAGCAACATGTTCATGTTCAGGGCCAGTCTGGACATGAAGCTCATCTTCCTGGACTCCAGGTGCAGGACGACACTGTGCTGGACATCTCATTTTCATTTTTTCCTCTTTAGATGTGTCTGTACTGAAGTCTGTGAGTGTGGAGTCTCTACAGTTTTCATTTTGAGAAGCTACTCAGGCTAAAAATCACGGCCTATAAAAGCAGGAACAGGAAAAAAGAATGAAATATCTCCCGAATCACTGCGTGTTTTAACTCCATAATTCCTCTCCAGGGTAGCTGAGCTGACAGGTTATGAGCCGCAGGACCTCATAGAGAAAACGCTGTACCATCATGTCCACAGCTGTGACATCTTCCACCTCCGCTGTGCACACCACCTCTGTGAGTTACAGGCCTGCTCGCTTCTGCTTCTGCTGCAGGCTGCCTGATCGCCTCATGTCAGACACTAACTGCTCAGGCAACCTGCTGCAGCCGCCATGTGCAAACAATCATGCATTTCACACACACACACACACACTCAGAGAGAGAAAACATGCATGTTGTTAACTGTTGTTAATCTCTGCTGTCTGTGTGTTTCTTTTATCTCCTTCAGTGCTGGTAAAAGGCCAAGTCACCACTAAGTATTATCGTTTCCTGGCCAAGCACGGCGGCTGGGTCTGGGTCCAGAGCTACGCCACCATCGTCCACAACAGCCGATCGTCGAGGCCTCACTGCATCGTCAGCGTCAACTACGTCCTCACGTGAGTCCCAATGAGAATTTAAAAGTGCACAGAAGCTCAGAAAAAAAATGACTCGTGTCAACTGTGTAAAAAACTTTGGGTGGAAAATTCCTGCATGTGGATTGTTTGATATTTAAGTTTTTAAATTGTTGATGTTTAGGAGAGAAATCTCTGAAATTACAGCTTCACTGTCATCAAGCTTATGGGGCTAAAAACAAAATGCATTTCTATTGGTGCTTTTTGGGGGAACAACACTGAATATTTATCTAGATGAGCTAAAATCATATCATACACTCTCGTGATCCTTGCTCGAGGCTCACTCTGTGATGCGATGGGTCTTTGTCTCCTGGAGAAATCCTCCTCTTTATCCCCCCGTAGCCTCTCTGTACAAATCCACCAAACGCCGCGGCTGCAGGGCTCAGGCAGTCGTGTGTTATGAGAGCACAAAGCACACTAAGGCCCTTCGAGACAGCAAGACAAACATCAGGGTTCAACCCCATCAAAAAACCTCTACTGTCACCATCGATCCGCAGGCCGAGGAAAGCAAAATCGATCAAACGGTGAACTAGGAATCAATAGCTATCTCATAGCTGTAGCACATGTTGGATTTTCCTTGTTAGGTCTGGTTGATCCACGTGTCGCCGTTTTCTGTGCGAGTTTCGTGCGAGTCTGTGCGTGCGTGCATGTGGCTGCGCTCCAAGTATCGATTCCTTCAATGCAGTAAGGAGAAAACAAAGTAACTGCATTAAAATGACAGTGAATTTCCAAACGCATAATTAGGTCTAACGCAGAAGTATCCGAGAGCTCGCACGCAGCAAAAGTACGAAAAGAAAAAAACAGCTGCATTAAGAAAACAAACAACAATTCAATCACCTTGCTGTGACAGCGTTTTAACCCAACAAGAATGCATTAATAAATCATGTTCCGAGGTTGGCTGCTGCCGTATTTCAGACATGAGGTGCTCTGACATTGACCCTGAGGTGGAATTCGGCTAACACAGCTGAGTTTGCACAAAGGCCCGACATTATTGGCTCAGACGTAAGTCAGCCAGGGCACAGATAGGATGCAGAACCCGCCGCTGCAACTATACCTGCAAGAGCAAATAACACTCACACCGTGCACTGGCTGTCCAAACATAGCCTTTTCCCCCCCAAGGTGCTGTACATAAAGAATGGGTCATATTTGGAGTCATATTAAAGAGGCTGGCTGCACCGGGTCAGGGATGGGCCACAAGGTTTGAAATGCCAGCCAGCTGCTATTACATACTGTTGATGTGATAAGTTAAGAATAGGCTCATGTTTGCTGAACACTTGACACAGGAGCCTTTTCACTCCCTCGACAGTGACACTTGGACCGAGTTCAGCCGCAGGACAGTGGGTTAAAACGTCAGAGGTGGTGCACGAGCTACAATAGAAGTCTGCAGATAAATCACAGCCGAGGCGGCGCGCGTGCATGTTTGCTCTGGCTGCCTTCTTCTGGTAATGGTTGTGTGGCAGAAGAAGAATGATTAACTTTCTTCGGGGCGTCTGTTGTTTTTCTAAGAAGCTGGAATGACTTCCTATTTTGAAAACGTCTTAAATGTTTTCACTTCTCACGTCAGTCACATTGTAAAAAACCATGTTTGTAAAACGTCTGTCCGGCTATCTATAACCAATATTAGCCAAGACGTCTGCTGCAAGCTGCTGATTGTGTCACGTGGTGCAACACCAGCACCAGGACTGAGTAAGAAAGACAGAAGCTGCTCAGATGTATTGGGAGGAGGGAATGCTAGTCCAAAGGTCTGAGGAATTTTGAACTTGAATAAGTGAAACTACGTCCTCTTCCAGCAACGTTCAGCGTCCTCGGGCAAAACTATCAACACCTAAAGGAAGCTGCTCAGCGGGCAGAAAGTGCACCAAAGAATTCAGACCAAAGCTGGAAGATGCATGAATATTTAAAGTAAATCCATCCTCCAGGGACGCTAGCTGGTCTTGGTCATGCTGACAGAGACAATGCTAGCATGCTCATTTTAGCTTCACTGTGTAATTACTACTAAAAAGGAAGTTTGTCATTAGCTCTGCAGGGATTTGGTTAGAAATAAGAGCATTTAGGGGAAAATCAGGGGGTCCAAAAGTAAATGGAGATTATTATTATCAGAATAGAGTTTCAGAATAATCAAGCGTCATTCATATTTTAGTCTGGACCTCTGCAGTGAACCAACTAACCAACATGTCAACGCCCAGAGAACGTGACCGCCGGGATAAATATAAGTTCAGGCGTTTATATTTATCTCTAACAAGTCTTTTGTGTGTGTGTCAAAAGGGACACCGAGTATAAGGGAATGCAGCTGTCCTTGGACCAGATGAGCCCCACCAAGCCGGCCTTCCCCTACGCCGACAGTCACACCGAGGAGAGGAAGAGCACCAAGTCCCGTCTGACCCAGTCGAAGGCCAAAGCCAGAGTGTCGCCCTATCCACAGGTACCGCTTCATCGAGCCAACTCCAGACAGGAGACTCGACGCAGATGTAATTGTTGGAAAGAGACTCAAATCACAAACTCTAACAACTGTGATTTTCCTGTTTCTGTGCAGCAGTTTTCAGCTTTCAATCCCGAGCGTTCAGAGTCTGACCAAGACAGCCAATGGGGAGGGAGTCCGCTGACAGACTCTGCCTCTCCTCAGCTGTTGGATCCCAGCGAGGCGGCGGAGGCGTCTTGCGCCTACCGGCTGTATCCGGACTCGGGCTCCCTGTGCTACGGCCTGGGTCTGTCGGAGGACGATCTCGCTCACGCCCAGACGCATCCTCACGCCACCACCTGTGACCGAGTCCGATGCCAGAGCGGCCGCTACTTCCTGGGAACCCCCCAGTCGGGAAGGGAGATGTGGTGGGACACCACACGGTCGGTGCTGTCGCTGCCAAAATTCTCCGTGGAGAACAGCGAGGGCTACGAAATCACATCCTACCATGGCGCCATTCACGGTGAGGTGTTAGGGTTGAGACCACAACCATCTGTTTCTGAAAATAGCTCTGGCCTCACTTCTCCTGGTAGCTGTTTTCCAAATGTTATTATGGGACATGCTAAGTTGTTTATGCCGTCTCTTGCCAGTGTGCCGATTGCTACCATCTGTTCAAAAATTGCCTGCAATTGAAAGCCAAGTTATTTCACATTACCCATCCTCAAAAAGTGAAACAACCCCCAGCGTGCTGGTGCCAAGACGCCCAGCCGGCCCATCGTTCTCTGTGCATTTAAAACAGCGTTTACACATTAACACATGAGCATTGTTTCCAACCAGGTGTGAGTCTGTTTCACTGTTACGAAGTGTCCCCGTTGATTTCTCTCTGCAGGACGAGGCCATTGGGATGAAGACAGTGTGGTGAGTTCACCTGACGGAGGCGGGTCCACCAGTGATTCAGGTGAGCGTTACCACGGCGACCAGTTCCAGTCAAGCCCTCGAGAGCCCAGCAAGATGGAGACCCTGATCCGCGCCACGCAGCAGATGATCAAAGAGGAAGAGAGCCGCCTGCAGCAGCACAAGGCGCCGCTGGACGTCTCGGGTCTCGCCAAAACCCACAGCCCGTGCTTCACCTCCTCCCTGCCCCACCACTCCCAGCTCACCATGCCCAGCGTGGTGTGCCGCGGCCCCGGCGCCCCCAGCATCGACCTCCCCTCCGAGCGCCTCCATCACCGGGACAGCGTCAAAGCGCTCGGCCCCCACGACAACGACGAAAACACAACCAGTCCCGCGTCCTTGTCTCGTCTCAGCAGCCCCAGCTCCGACGGGATCCCCAGGTCGGGCCTCTCCCTCACCAAAGACTACATGCAGACGGACCTGTCCCCCCACCCCCCACAGCCCCAGGGGAGCCCGCTGCTCTATCCAGCCCAGGAGAGGCAGCCGCTGGACAGGCAAGCGGCCTACGCGTTGACCGGGTATTCGCTGGAGCACCTGTACGACCCGGAGAACTTGCGGAGTTACTCTGGCCTGGCCTGCGGAGGCGTCCAGTACGACGTGGCGTCTCATGTGAGAATGCAGGCCGAGCAAATACAGGGACACAAGGCCACCTCAGTCATCATAACCAACGGCAGCTGACGATATCTGGTGCAGATCGGTCCCGTTGTCTCAAAATGAGGATGCTACCGCTGGTGGCGACGTTATGCACACTGACCGGGTGCTTGATACAAAAGGCGAGACAATGACAAAAAAAATAAAATAAAATAAGGATACAAGGCGCCTGCGTTGGGTTTCTGAGCCCTTCGCGGTTCACTCGGCACAACTCGTGTTTGTCGGGCCTTTGTGTTGCACCGCTCTGTTTTCTTCACCACCAGAGGATGATTTTCCGAGACTCTACGGAAACTCAAGCAAACTGGGACATTTGCTGTTCCGCCTGACACGGGGAGGAGGAGGTTTGCTCCATTAAATAGGAATATAGTGTTATTTTAATGGCAGTGAACTGAATTCCCCTCCCTGCTGGTTAAACATCAAGCCGGCGTTTCTGTCCCAAACCGCTCACGCACCATTGGCCGTGTGAGTTAATCTGTCCTGGACATGATTTCCAAAGGCAGTAGGGAAATGTGTTGTTCCATTACCCTTTCACCTGAAAACTCCATCGCACAGAGCATAATGTTTGACACACCAGGTGCGACATGGGAAAGGCGAGCGTTTCACTGTTGTAAGATGTCAATGTTTCCTGGTATTTATTTGTCGGTGGGCTGTTCTCTGTATGTGTCATTTCTTTTTTTTCCCTGTCCAAGTAGAACTGGTGCATTAAATTAGTTTGGGTGTTTGGATCACACCGTTATTACAATATTAGGAATAAAAAAAAAAAAAAAAAAAAAAAAAAAAAAAAAAAAAAGAAGAAATTGGAAAAACAGAGAAAAGAATGCCTCTGATATGTAAGTGTACAAGTTGGAAACTGCTTTAATGTACAGGTTGAAATGCCCTCATTAGAGAGTCGGTACCGAACCAGCTCGTCTGAACTCCCCCCTCTGAATACAGGCATCGTGTATATATCCACTCACAGCTGTAGCTAATACTGTTTACATATCAGAGTATGATTTTTCCTGTTTTTACCTCACATAGCCGACCTGTTAGCATATGTAGCGTATGCTGTAAAAGTCCTTCGACTCTGCTCCACACGCAGAAAACCGTTTGTTCTGTTCTGTCACCTGCAGCCTGAAAGGGTTCGAAATGATCGATAGGAACATATCTAAGAAAAAAAAACTACAAAAAAAAAAGAAGAAATAGGTTGAATGTCTTTAGTTTCTTATTTAATTTATGATGTAAATATCACCACGCAATGAACTTTTGAACAAAAAGTGACGAGATTATTTATTAATTGGTTTAAAAAGTCTCTTAAATCTGAATACAGTTACAAACAAACAGCCGTGTGTGTGTTGGGTTTTGTTCTGTCTGTTCCACTGTCTGCTACACACACATGCACACACACACACACACACACACACACACACACTAAAAGATTCATTTTTGTTTGTTTTATGTTTAATTTAGAAAAGCCTCGTCTGTCATTTGTCTGTTTTTCCAACTGATGCGACCAAAAGACTGTAAATCTGACCACAAACATATAATTTACTAGATTTTTTTATTTATTTAAAGAAGAAATGCAAAGTAATAAGTAGCTCACTTTCCTGCAGCGTTTATGGCAGGACAGCGTATTCAGTAAAGCTGGTGTTCACCTCGATGAAGGAACATCTGACCCGGAGCAAACATGTGGCTCACTGATGTGTGTTCTTTAGACAGCAGTGTCACACACAGGTATCAGACGAAATATCAAACGCTCGAGACGGTGAATTAAAGCGGGGAATTATTGCAAACATGTACAGCAAAAATCCTGAACAAATCTATTCCTGCCGAGGCGTCACGTTCTTCATGCACTTGCGGCAACACGTTCCTGCTGTTTGGAGCAGTTGAACTCGCACATTTAGCCACTCTGACCTCTGCTCACAAGGCAATCTCTCTCTCGGCGCGTTTTAATGTATGTAAGTTATTCACATGTAGCCGGGGAGCTGGCCCGCCGGCCCGCCCGCCCGCCCGCCTGTCTGTCTGAATGCAGGAGAACCTGGACGCAGTCTGGGCCTGGATGCAGAACTGGACCCATCAGTCACCGCTGACACGAGCATCTGATGGTCTGCCAGATATCACTGCTGCTGTCATTCCGGCAGGCAGGAACTACCAGCGCGTGCTGCTACTGACATCACTGAGGTTTATGAACGGTGCGTGTGTGTGTTTATAGCTACGACGCTTTAATAATCAGAGAGGTGGTGGTTTTTTTTTTTTTCTTTTTTCTTTTTTTGGTCTAAACACTGGGGATTTTTCCTGATGTGCCCTGAAGGCTTTCACATGTAGACTTGGTTGCAAATGTGGCCAAAGCGCTGGGCCTTCTGCCCAGACGCTGCTCTCCTGCGCACACCTCCCCAAATACCTCATCACCTCCCAACCCAGAATCCTCTCCGGTCCGCCTCAGTGTGCAGAAACAAACAGGCGATTACAGCGTTGTGAGCCGGCAGAAAGGTTTACGAACACACAGGTAACAAGCAGGAGAGAAAACCGGATTATTTACTTTAGTAAAAGTGCCAAAACCTCGACATAAAAGCGCTTCATTAAAAGCTATTAATAAACAGGATATTATCAATATTATACGTTCAGTGTTAAATGTACAACTCGTTATGCAGAAAGGCTCCTTATTAAAAAAGTTACATCAATTAAATGGTCTCATTATTACTGATTAAATAATGTGCAAGCAGCAATTTAATGCTGTATCTGGATTTAATTACTTTACACAGGACTGGGCTTTTCATTTATGACAGATATTCACATTGCATAAGTTGCTAAAAAGGTTTATAAAAGCTTCTCTACATATAATTGTTTTTTTAATGATAAATGAGCAATTTAATGACTTTGAAGTTTGCAAAGTTGTGACTAAGGCCTCGAAAAGCAGTAAAAAAACAGAAAGCCGCAGCAGAACTGCAGCGTAGTGAAGTAAAAAGAAGCACATTTCTAGAGGACGCAGTTCAAACACTCTAAATCGTACTTAAGTAAAAGTGTTTTGTTGCTTTCAACAGAAAAACAAGGACCCTGGAGAGTCACCACATTAATAGAAGAGGGAATCTTTGCATTTCTTTGGAAGCGATCCAAGCAGTTATTGGAGAATAGCAGATGTTAGGCCCGGAATAAAAAAAAAAATCAATCAAGAATAAAAACAAAGGCTGGCGTGACGTCACTACCAGAACAGATGTGTGGCGTTAATCCCTCGCTCGCTCGCTCGCTCTCTGGAAGCCGTCGTAATGAACCACGGCGCTGCAAAATTAAAGCATTTGCAGTTAATTTCACTACACGCTACTGCAAATAAAAAAAAACAAGAAGAGAAACAGCACGGCCTGGTCGACACCGTAAAGGCAACGAGTGGTCGGAGGAGACGGAGACGCCGGCTGTGTGGTGCCGTCGACCCTGTGTGGAGGTAAACTGTGGAACCGCAGGAGGAAGATCTCGGGGTTTCACGGCTGCAGCGAAGGAGAAATGGATCCTAAATTCACCAACGACCGCAGAATATGAGGGTGCAGGTGGCGAGGCTCAAAATAGCCGCCGAACGTCCACTTGATTGATTTCAGGCCCTGGATTGAGGCACGATTGCATATTCATACGTCAATTAAAGTGTTCCTTCCACCAGTGCCTCCATAATTCAAGCCGGGCGCTCGCTGAAGAGTCGTCCCTACGAAGCAGCTTCAGAGGAAAACGCTTCAACATGTTTTCTGTTTCGTGCGTACTTTATGACCTCTCTGAGTGTGAACTGACATCTTCTAATTGTTTAATTCCCCTCCGTCTTTGAAACCGGCTCGGCAAGTCGCCTCAAAACATATCTGGCCTCAAAACACAGCAGCACCGCATGCAAGCATTCAGACACTCCTCTGAAAACACTTCCCATGCAGCAGCAGAAAGAAAAAACCCAACAACAATAAAAACCCTGCATCTCCGGTTGTGAGTCGCCTGCAAATGAGTCAACCGAGGGCAAAAAATAGCTCAGGACCTGGGAAAATCATTCATCCGGCACCCTCGGTGACACCTCCGCCGCAGAGCTCGCTGCACCAGAAGACATTTAGATGTTCTGATCGGGTGGAGCAGGATATTGAGGTCACCTGGTCGATGTGATTGGCTGAGCTGGGAGACCGAGGTCGCCGTGCAAAGTGGACAGGAAATAAGGTGGCAGCTCTCTGTGGCGGCGCCTGACCCGGAGAATGCTGCTTAGAAAACACGCCGCTAATTACGAATGGAGGCGTTATGGTGTCGTCATCACGGCCGCCGCTCCACGGTTTTGTCAGTTTGAATCAACGTCTCGTGAACCCCGTTCAGGACTTTTGGGGTGTTTTGGGCGTCAAGCTTCGGTGACAGGTGTTGATTTTTCATTTTTGAAGATTTTTTTTTTTTTTTTTGAAATATAAGAAGAAGAGGAACATTTGTCGTGTGTTAGGAACCAAAAATACGTCAACTTATCAGAAAATGTATTTAACAAAGTATAAAAGTTTGTACATAATCTGTTTTTGGGTCCCTGAGGCAACATGAAAGTCCTGAACAGTTTTTAATTAAACGAGGTTATGCTCTCGTCAAAGTCAGGAAGTCCCACGAAAAAACAAAACTAACAGTTAGGCATCCAAAGCCATCCGACAGAACTTTTTATTTTTATTTTTTTAAAGAAATCACTTTTAGAATTGGTCAAAACTTTCAGGTTTTACATCAAATAGATTCCTAAACCTTGTGGAGACGGTTGTAGATTTTACTCAAAGAGGATTTTCAGCTATGAATTTGGTGCATAAGCGAGTAGAACAGCACGATGGACTAAACGGAAATAAACTACAATCTTGACGACAGTGGAGCTCATTGGCTCAGAGGAATGCTAGTCTTTGATTGTACAGAACAAATTACTTCTTTGGATTTGTTTTCCTCAGGATTGTTTTGGCAAAAAAATGTAAGATTTCACCAAATTAATTCTTAAAACAACATTACACTGGGTTACAGAAAATATTTTTTTGAAGGTGTCTAGGATTTTTTAAAAACTGATTTAGGACATTTTTGCAAAA